TAAATGCTGAGTGAGTTATGGACTCCTGCCCATGAGAGCTCGTCCTTTGATCTGTATGGGTGAGAGTGGCCCAAGTTGCCAACTCAATATTCCTACCATTTTGGGGACGAGACCGAGTGGGGAGCTGAGAACATAACTTCACAAGATGGAATTCACCCCTCCCCGACTTTAGGGGAGTAGATGAGTGTTCTCTTAAATGTTGACTCTGAGACTTGAACAATGGGCCTCACCCTCTCATTGGCCCGAGAGCGACTTCCTGTTATTGGTCGGACCATAACCGGGTTGTTCATTAGAGGAGCAGTGGTATTTAAGGAGTAAGACGTAACTCAGGGGTAAAATGGTAATTTGACCCAACTTGAGTTACGAGCATTCGTGAAGGATTGACTTGTCATTAATGGTCGTATATCCATGGACCCGAAAACATCCTACAGTGAGAAGAGTGCAACTGCGGGTCTTTAGTGGAGTGACCCGTAGTTAACGAATGTTGATTAACTCGGTCAATGAGTTTGACCAATTAATCTCGCATCGTTAGAGCTTCTAATCTGTAGGTCCATTAGGTCCCCTTGCTAGCTTATAACGGGTAAAACGAGGATCAAGTTTTTGGAAGAATTTGAACTGTTCAAATTACTTAAGGGATTATATGTATATTGATACATTATAATATATAGTTAATTCTAAATTAAAACTATATATTATTAGAGAAATTATTTGAATGAGATTCAAATAAAATTAATATGAATAAGATTCATATTAAAACTATAGGTTAAAAATAATGTGCATAAGATGTACATTAGAACTATAGGTTATATGAGACAAATACTATAGAATATGATTCTATTTTTCGTGATAAATAATTAAGGGTTAATTATTTATTTGATATATATATATATATATATTAATTATTAATTAGATTAATAATTAATTAATTTCTATTAATTAATATGATTAATTAATTATTTATATATACATATTAATTATTATATATATATATTAATTATTAATATTAATATTTAACTCCCGTGCAAAATTGCAGGGGAGTGGGTAGTTAAGTGAGGTGGAGTAACTCCCCACGTTACTACTTTTGTTTTCTTCTTTTGCAGTTCTGCAAAAACAGAAAAAGAATAACAAAAGTAGAACTCTCTAAGAATTTCTCTCAATTAAAGCTCTCTCTCTCAATTCTCCCACTCATTCTAAACAAGGTGCTCCCACAAGCACGATCTCGAGACTCTAGAGGATAGCAAGGAAGATTCGGTGGTGATGTTCGAGGGGAAATTGTTGAAGAAAAGCTATTCAAAGGTAAAGTCTTTCCCCTGTATTTTCTTCTCAACACGTTTAGATTTTGTTTCCCAAAAATCATGAACAATGGTCAGTTTCCGCTCCGAGATTCACATCCCTTCAATTGGTATCAGAGGCAGGTTGATGTTTTGATTTTTTTGGAGCAAAATCGGTGTTCTTGGTGGGTGTTTTCCCATTTTCGAAATATGGGTTTGAGGGTTGGAAATTTCCCGATTTTTGGAATTTATATAGCTTTGTTCTTCTTGATTCGATCATGTAAGGGCCCGGTGTTTTGGGCATTGAGTTTCTGTATTGATTCTGTAAGTCCGGGTCGTTTGAAAATCATTCGTAGCGTCGGATTGGGCAAAAAGTTGCAGAAAATAGAGAAGAAGACAAAGCAGACCGCGCAGACAGCGCCATGGAGCTATGCAGTAGCGCCGTGGCGCTGCCCGTAGGCGGCGAGGCGCTGTCYCTGGTGTTTTTCGACGTGCTTCCGTGGCTCCGGTTCACGGTTCGAGGGCGGTTGCAGTCGTTTTCTATTTTTTTTGTACTATTTTGTTTTCTTAGGGTGCCAAAAACCGGTCCAACTTCGCTATTTAATTATTTTCTGCATTATGAATTTATATTTTAATTAAAAGCATATTGCATATTGTATGCCACATAGTTTTAAAATCCCACCATAGGTTACATGCATAATATGTATGTTTGATATACAGTATGTATGTATTATCATGCATCATATAGTTATAAATGTTATAATGTATGAATGCATGTTTTATTTTCATGATTGTTGTATTAATTAGATGGAAATAAAGTTGCATTGAACATGACATTACTTTCTTTAATATAATTGTTATATTGATGTATGCTTACAATGCATGATTATAGTTTTAATTTCTTAAATTTTATAAGAGTTATAAAATGTGGTAGATCGAAATTAAAATCTATAATAAAGAATTGCATGCAAATATAAGGTCTATGTTAATTAATTTTAAAGGGGTTTAAAATTAATTAGACCTTAGGTTATATCTTCTAATATGATTAGGGGGTAGTCTTTTTATTTTGTTTTAACTAGGTTTAAAATGAAATGATAAAAGACTAAATATAAAATATTGCCTATAAGAGAACCCTGTCTAAGGACGGTTCTGTCTAGGTTGAAGTACTTAAGTTGACCGTAACGGAACACCTCTACCTGGGAACCGACCTGGGGGTTGAATTAGTCAATATTTTATATACATGCATTAATGTCGTTGGTTTATTAAAATGTTTAATGGACTAAAACATTTATGTACAACTACCAATATAATAGTTATATTAGGCCGACTAAAAATTCACTTAGTTAATTTCACTTAGCCGGGATTTATCTAAGTAATATACCCTAGTCTTAGAATACTAAGTGGGAGCAAAAGAGAATACGTAATATACATCGTATATATTTGATATACAAAGTATATATAACATATTTTTCTCTATCTCTCACGTTCTCCTTTATATTCACACTGGGAGTTCCATGCTCGACCTCGTGTCGCCATGGGCACGACCTCCCTACAGAAGGTGTTTGCATGGTTCAATATCGAGGTGAATGGAGATAATATTCATAGTAAGTTGGAGAAGGACGTGTGACACATCCTGCGGTCTCCGCCATTGGTTTGCACTGTGAGGTTTCATACATGACCTGCGTGTCGTCCTGGAGCGACCATCCCTACGGAGGGTTCATTGTATGGAATCAAAACCAAGACAAACTCCAGAAATGGATAAGAGTCTCTTAGGTTTTGCTCCAATATTTTCCTTCCCTACAGCGGGATTATTGGGGCAGATATCTGAGGTCCGAAAATGATGGGTCACACTTACGGGGAGTTGTTAAGTTAGTTAGCAATTTCCTGATCAAATAAACGATGACTAAAGTTTATAGGAATAAGAGTTAGTCTGGTGTAAAATTTAGTTGAGAAAAAATGGTGATCTACGAAAATTTCCATGTTTTATGACATTTTATAATTGTCAAGAAAAATAAAATTATTTCAACTATCCCATGAGAGTTACCTAGACCATTTTGAGAATCTATGACATACAAAAAGTGTCACAAATTTAGCGCGTTTCATTTCAGTCGGAAAAACTACAGCTTTATGGATGATATTAATTATTTCCGGAATCTCCGATCGTATCGGATATAGATTTATGATTAACAGTTTCCCTATATACTTCATGAAATAAGTAGAAAATGGTATTTGGTATAGTGGTCTGCTTCTCCTGCGTAATTGTGCCCTTCTTCTTCGGTCCCGAGTTTGAGTCTAGTGGATTTCAATTATTTTTTTTAACCCTCTATTATTATATTTTTACAAAAAAATTACTTTAATTATTTTTTCCATTTAAAATAAATAATATGTATTTATTTTGTATCCACATTTTCTTGCAAAAATTTAATTCATGAAAATTAAGATATGATGATGAACATAAAATAATATCAGTTAATTCTAGTTTCACCAAACATTTCATAAATAAAATATTCATATTTAAATTATACCCTGATTTTTTTTTTTGGAATGAAAGGTAGTCAACTTAACGAAGGCTTAAGAATTAATTTGGGTTTAAATTAGAACTAGTTACGTTCATGAACCTTTAAATTTTTTATAACATAAAATTTTGAATTTTAGATTAGAAATTTTTTAATTAAATCTTTGTTTGAAAAAAAAATTGTTAGATTTTTGCCCAAATTTTTAAGAATATTAGTAGAAACTTTTTTTTTTTTTAAGAAAATGGAAACAAGTCCTAATTTTTAGAATATTAATAGAAACTTTATAAAGTCTTTAAAATGGAAATTATCTATTTTACTAAATTATCTATTTATTTTGTGGTTTTTCCAGAGTTCTTTTTGTGTTCTAGGAATGTTATGTGATTTATATACATGATTTATTGAGATTCAATCGGCCCGATACGTTTAAAATATGATGAACATACAACACACAAAATCTTGATTAGAATGCAATACTTTCTCTTAATCTTTATTGATTTCTTTAACTTGATTATATTTTTCATTTTAGTTAAAAAGCACATTTGGTCCTCTAATTTCAATGAATTAGTGATTTAGTCTATGAAATTTAATTTGTAACAATGTAGTCAATATACTTTCAAATCGATAACTTTCTCAAATTCAACTCTAGTATCTAGTATTCATGTAGTTTAAAATTTGTAATAATATAGGGCTCGTTTATTAATATTTCCATTTCTTGTTTCTCGTTTCCAATTTTCTTAAGAAATCTAAGTATTTTTCAACTAACTTCGTCTCTTGTTTCACATTTTTTGGGAACATTTTCACAATTGTATAGAAATTTTGGAAACAACTAAAACTAGTTTCTCCTTCCTGATTTCCATTTCCAATTTGTTCTAAAACATAAATAAAAAAGATTGTTTTATCATACTTGAATTTTTAGAGGTTGGAACCATAGAATACATTTTTCTACATTAAAAATAAAAAAACAGAAACAAGAAACAGGAACGTTACCAAACGAGCCCATAGTCCTCCGTAAAAATATAATATTTTTTTGGAAATGGCCAATTTATATTTTTAAAGGAAAATACGGTATTATGGAAGAATAGCCGAGAGTTTTAGATCAAACTTTGAGTTTAAATTTTACTATAGGTTAATTAAAAGTAAAAAATTATAGGTTTCTCTTTCCCTTCACCTCTCATCGCCACACGTGCACCATGATTTTTCACCTTCAATCATCGGCAGACCATCATTAGGGCAACCCTTGGATACCACACCATTGGAGGGCGCATCCCTTCGTCTTTTCTTCCGTTGCAAACCGCTCAACTTGTGAGCGAGGCTGCAATCGACGGACTGATTCGAGGTGGAGGCAGCGATTCTTCGAGTCCTGCACCAGCGACCCGACGACCCGCTGATTCGAGGTGGAGGCGGCTAAAATCTTCCTGTACATTTCGATTCTCTCTCTTTAGGGTGGTTGTAGTCGAGTTGCCATTGTAGGAAACGAACATGTTAAGTGGTCCAACGCTCAAAAAATGCAGTGGTCGTAGCCTATTGAGTATTATATAAAGCATCATTGCCATGATCACTTAGTCGTATAGTACAATAGCAATATAACTACAAAGGTTCTCTATGGCGGACTGAGAATCTTGTGGCTTCAACTCTCCATGCCTTCACTCTCAAACTTTGCCTCATTATTTTCTTCCCTCTTGTTCATCTTCATCCTAAAACCCTTGCGTCAGGCTCCCCTTGTTGTTGAGAATCTTTGTATGTTTCAATTTAAACTTTAATATTAGTATTCTAATTATGCCCACTACATGTTTGATGATTTGCTTGAGAGAAAACTAATTGATTCTTTTTTGTGATGAAGGCAAGGGTGTGTTGCCGGGACTGTTAATATTGGGGTTGAACGATGGCTGCTAATGGTCAGCGTTCTTACAATTTAGAATTTTTGGCCCGTGAATAAGAGCTTGACCATAGACCAGTGGACTTTCAATATTCTTAGCAACATCTGCACTCTGGTAGTTCAATTTTTCATTGCATTTTATTAGTTATTTAATTTATATTACTTAAAGTGATGGTTTACTTTTAATTTTCCCCCTCCAAAACTCCTCCTTGTTTTTATGTGTTTTCTTGCTCTCATGCACTCGAGTAGGTGATAGATTTGTAGTGTAATTCAAGGTGTATTATTGATAGTTGTTTATTTATGATAGATGAGTTGTGTTGATGCAGAAATTTGAGCCTTCTGAGGTTCTGCCAAATTCGCACCAATCTTCTGTAATAAAGGGATCGACAAGACCTGCAAAATAGAATAGCATTAAAGACCGGTGTGGCTCTTGCCACACAGGCTCCGATGCTTAAGTGAGAATCAAAGTAGTTGAGTATGAAGTGTAGAGTGTTGTCAGCATACCTTTTAGGGTTTGGCTTACTTCCCTATTTATAGGAGTTGAATCTTGATCCCTCTAGGAATTGTGGAATTCGAATCCTGATATTATCTGAATATGGGAGAATCTTGAGGCAATCAGGATAAAGGGAATTCGAATTGTAGAAAATAGGGATTTTCTCATCCATAACAATAGCCCCCACTCTCAAAGTTGAAGATTGTCAAAGTTCTACTTTGAAAGTATTTTGTCGTTCTTGGGTTGACTATTTTTGTGGAATAACCTCTTTTTGGTCGTTGTTGATTGTCGTCTTAATTAGGCTGACTTTCCTAGCTCCCATTCTTTTTTGTTGTAGTTGGCTACCATCAAGTCTCTTAGCATTGAGAGTACTTGTCATTGTCAGTTGTCGCTTTTTATGGGCTGGCTGTTATAGTCCCATTTTCTTTTGTTGTAGTTGGCTGCAATCGAGTCCCTTAATGTTGAGAGTATTTGTCGTTATCGGTTGTTGTTTTTATGGGTTGGCCTGTTATAGTCTCCATACCCTTTTGTCATACCCTTTTGTCACAGTTTTGTAGTCAAGTCTCTTGGTTTACTCTTGGGTTTCCAACCTACTTGGCTTTCGCCAATGGTTTTATTCCCTGAGTCCAGTCGATACCATTGTCGATTATCGTTTAATGGGCTGGCTGTCATAACTCCCATTCTCTTTTGTTGTAGTTGGCTGCAATTAAGTCTCTCAGGCATTGCTATACGGTTAGTTTTTACCGTTAGATTTTGGCCTTGGGATCTAACTTCCAACAGAGCCAGTGGTACTTCATTTGGGTTTCTAACCTATTTGGCTTTTGCCCATGTTTTATACCTTAGGGTTTACTCTCGAGTTTCTAACTCATTTGGCTTTTGCCAATGACTTTTGTACCTTGAGTTTAGTCGGCACCCTTGGGTTTCTAAGATATTTGGCTTCTACCGATTTTTTACCCCAAGTTAAATCAACATCTTCGAGTTTCTAACCTATTTGGCTTTCGCCAATGGTTTTATACCCTAGGTTTCATTGATTGGTTAGGCTTGCCTGCTTTTTGTTTTAATCTTGCTAGGCTTGTACGCATGCCTTTTTCAGCACCTTGGGATTCTTTTCCCTAGTTTTACTGATTGGCTTTTAGCTTATCGGCCTGCTTCTAGGTCTGTCCCTGTTCGAGTTCCTTGACCAGCTGTTGATTAACTTACTCGTGCCCCCACTTGAGGAGGTTTTGTTTAGAGTATCAAACAAAATTTTCTCAAGTATAGAACATATGAAATAATTAATTTAAATCAAACGAAATTATCACAAATATTGCGTAAAAAAAGCACACATCATGCTTAAATAAATTTTACAATAAATAAATAAACAACATGAATGCATCACCATAATAAAACATATTGGAAAATCACACATCATGCTTAAATAAAATTGAAAATAAATAAATAAAAGATAGGCTTAGTTTTTTTTTTAACGATTCACCATCTTCAAGCCTTGTCATTCTCTTTTATCCCCATTTGTTGGGTTTTGGTTAGCTTTGATACGGCCATAAACCTTTTCTTTTCAGAAGATGTCGAGAGGGGACGAGTATACAGATTTGTAGATCACCGAAAAATTGCTAGTAGAAAGAAATCACCATTGAATAATTGTTGCCACTGCCATTCATTGTCGAAAATTATCGAATAATTGTTGCCATTTTCATTTGTAATCGATAATGCGGGGATCTATCGAGGGTGCCCGTTGTCGGGTCTAGATCTATCACCGGTGGAGGAGAGGAGTTCGTGCCATCTACTAATTCGCACCGTCACAGCTACTCAAAGGAAATGTCTTCATCGGATCTTGGTGTTTCTCGATTGCTGGTATTGTCACCATGTCTCATCGATCTTCATCGGTCTAGGAGGGTTGCTGCACTATAAATGTCATGAATCTACTCAGACAGTCGCAGATCTGGTGTGGAACGTCGTGTTTGGCCGCACTGTGGCGGGCCATTGAAGCTGTAGGGACTTTGGGCACGCCATGGAAGTAGGGATCCGCAGCTTCGAGTTCGTTGGAGAAAGAACAACATCGTCGCCTAAGAACATCGTTGCTTGGTGAAGGAGCTTACTGTTCGTAGCTCACACGCTGCCACCGATGCTGGGTGTTGCTAGAGGACGTTCATCATATTTTTATCCATGTCGAATTTTGTAAGTGTGTCGCATTGATACGATCTTCGTAGCTTGAGTACTTTTTCTGTTTGAATAACGTTTCTTCCACTTTTGTCGCTTGAACACTACTACTTATGTTGTTTGGACATTGTTTCTATCGTCCCCACAGATGGCGCCAATTGTTGATGCAGAAATTTGGGTCTTCTGGGATTTCGCCAAATTCGCACCAATTTTCTATAATAAAGGGATCGACAAGACCTGCAAAATAGAATAGCATTAAAGACTGATGTGGCTCTTGCCACACAGGCTCCGATGCTTAAGTGAGAATCAGAGTAGTTGAGTATGGAGTGTAGAGTGTTGTGAGCATACCTTTAAGGTTTGACTTGCTTCCTTATTTATAGGAGTTGAATCTTGATTCCTCCAGGGATTGTGGAATTCGAATCCTAATATTATTTGAATTGGGGAGAATCTTGAGGCAATCAAGATAAGAGGAATTCGAATTGTAGAAAATAGGGATTTTCTCATCCATAACAAGTTGCCGCTTAGAATGTTTTTCATTTCTATATATAGATATACTTAAAGTGATCAATTGTTTGAGGATATCTTAAGAGTTTTGAAGCGGGTGGGATAATCTTTATTCACAAGATGTCACCATTCTTGCAGTTGAGAAAGATGAGGTAATTAATGAATAGCAAATTATTTTTTACATTTTAAATATTGATTACATAGAGATATTACTAGTACTTTCACCTATTCACCTATCTTGACCTTAATCATCAGTAGGTTGACCATAATACTATAATGATTCTATTGCCAATTATTATCAAATAGCAACCTTGGGAGTCCTCTACGTTATGATTTATTAAGTTCGAACTCTTTGTTGTGTTCACTGGTAACAAAATAATTGTTCCTTATGGGTCCCAAGACAACTTTTGTAAAATAGTTTACCTCTCCTTCATTAGCTTCTTTTATCCTTGAAGGTATTTTACTATTGTCAACATTATTACCCCCTTAATTTGCAGAGTTGTCAAAGTCAAATAATTTTCTTATCATTGAGGCCAATGGTGGTTGAAACAGCATTTAGAGTGAATATGTTGACCATGTTCACTCATTTAGATGCTCTATTATTTGAATGATTAGATAATTATGGATACTTTATTATTTGAATGGTAAATAATTGATGTAAACACGTAAGTTGCATTGTTCTAATGTTCCTTATCTAACGTTACATGAAAGATTTATACTTATTGTTGTACTAGAACATCGATCATGATTTCTGAAAAGCATTTTGTTGGTAACCACATGTAGGAGTTGGAGATTGTGTTTCGTGGAAGATTTGTTCAAACACTTTTGCTTGATCTCCTTGTTATGAAATTGAGTTATTGTTGGGGTCTATTGAGGTATGATTCTCGGTCATTAGTTATCCCTCGTGTTCTTCATTCGATTACAAATTAGTACGTCTCATAAAGAAGTTGCATTGTTTTAATTTTCCCTAGTTTATGTTACATGAGAGATTTGTATTTATAGTTAAACTGGAACATGTATTATGATTTCAGAAAAGCATGCAAATTAGAGTGAGCTTTTTTTAATTGTTTAGTTTATTATGTTGAAGGAGTAACTTGTGGGTATCAATATTTTGAGAAAGGAAGACGTTGAAGAAATGATTTTCGAGTTGGTTCAACGAGTACTAGTATAATATCTTATCCAACACCCCTGCGCAATTGTCATACATTATATTTGATATTTTCGTACAGTGAGAGAAAGTTGTATAATCGTTGTGGCTATACTTAGTTGAAGTTAGTATTTTCAATATAATATCTTATCTCAAACATGAATCCACCTCCCCCCTACCTGCATCAAATTAGTATTTCTCGTACATATGTTGAACTGAAAGAATATACTTAGTTATGAATTTATTTTTCTAGTTTTGCTTAAACGATTTGTTCTTATGATTTATAAACAACATGTTGGTTATAGTACAAGTATTCATTCTAGACAAACCAATGCATACGTTCATATTAATGTTTTCTTAATTGTTTATTTTGAATATGTTGTTGTAGCTTGTGAGAGCGAGGTTTCGAGAAATAAGGATGTTGAAAAAATTTTGGTGTACCATCGACGTGTATGTGGTATAAACTCTGAATCCATAGAATTATAATATGTTAGCTACATACTATAATTTGACCTCTCCACAATTACTATGTTATGGATGAATATTTTACATTATTTCAATGCTTAGGTATTGTGAGAAGCGCTATGGAGAATTTTGATTCGAAGAATGTGACTCTTTGACCATTTTTTGTTGGGTTAGCAGGAACTTCATGTTTTATGTACTACTAGAATAGTTTGTTTATGTACGGGATTGATGTACATTTAAATGTAGTTTGTAATTATATTATGTATGAACACTTCGTTTATGTATATATGACTTATTTGTTTGCATTTCTTTATATATATGCCCTTGTATGACGGGAAACAACTTCTTTAAAAAATATTTCATGACAAATTTACTCAATTACAGAAAAAATATCATTGTTTCAATAGTTATGACAATTAAATGAGTACTATAGACATTTATAAATGTCAACAAAATATGTTTCGTGACAATGAAAGACTGAAATTAGCCGAGATCCCCTTCGTTCTGGAGTTCAGGACTTATTTTCTATGGATGCGAATGAAATCCATTTAGCCAATGTTTTGTCCGGGTTCACTGAAGAAATGATTATTTAAAAATTGTCATTGTCGAACTTCTCTTGATTACTCAGAACTTTTATCTTAAATAAATTTTGATACGAATATTGTCATGGTTAAAAGTTTTGTGATGGTTATAAAAGTAAATTAGAAAAACATAAATTGTCACTATACCAACTTTCGTGATATTTAAAACATGTCATTATTAAATGTACCATGACAGTTTTAAGTTGTCGTTATATATATTGTCATGACTGTTTACATCATGTCAACATTAAATGTTCCATGATATTGTTAAACTGTCGTTACACATACTCGTGATGTTTATTAAATGTCATCAAAATAGTTGTTTTGACAATTATAAACTGTCAGAAATATGTTTTTTTATGACTGAAGAGCAAAATCTTTGCTTCATTTGGTGACAATTATGAACTATCATCAAATAAGTTATTTGTGACATTTTAAAATTGTGGTGGATGATTATTTCGTGATAAACTATAACAATCCTTTTAATTGCATTAATGACAATTTTTAAAAACTGTAACCTTCTTCATTTCCTTGATGTCTTAATCCATGACAGTTGTTAACTGTCACGAATTAAGTTAATGACAATTTTTAATTGTCACGGAAGACCAGTTTTGTAGTAGTGGATTCTTGATCATACCAGGTCGAAACTGACTAAGACAACCAAAATGTAAGATGTCCTTTCTACCCTCGAAGTCAAAACTTGCATTTCATTAAACTCACTCAAAATGCGTTTGGCGCTTTCTATCCACATAATGGAAAAATGTGAGTTTCTCTCATGTTTGACCATAATTAATCTCATTTTATCTCATGATACCCCAATCTGCATTTTATCCAGAATTATTAAGCTTTTATCCCTCTTTAGCAATATATAAACACTTTTAATAAAATATGAGAGGAGAAGGGTTGTTTTTGTATTCAAACATGCCAAGAAAATAAGTTTTTTGCGGTAAAAAGTCAAACTCATCATCCCCATTACAGAGTCTTTGTCGAGTTTGCGATTGTGCGTCTGCATGACTTAAATTTCATTCACACTTTCACTTCCTTTGTATGTGGAGCTATCTACGGAGTTTGTATACACAAAGTCACTGACCATGTAATTCGACAAAAATGATAGGGCACACTGTACGTGAGGAATTTCTATGGAGAGATTCTCGAAATAAAATGAACTTGTATTGTATTTATGTATGTAGTGTTACGATATCTAATGTATGATCCTCTGATGCTTTCTCTCGGATGTAAACTTTGATTTGAGGGCTGATGAGCTTGTTCTCGAATCAAAGAGGTTCGCGTCTTTAACTTCTAGCTTGTTGAAGAGTATTTGAAGTCTTTGGTTTTGAGTTTTGTTGAAGTAATGGCTATGCAGCTTGATGAAGTTTTCGACTTGCTTATCGAAATTCATAGCTTGATGAAGTTCGTAGTTTTATGAAGTCTTTGCCTCGTTGCTTGACGAAGAAAGTATTCAATTCTTGAATTCTCGTAGTATTTAATTATTCAAGTCTTCAATTATGTTCAACTCTAGATGCTTCACTTAACTCTAAATGATTGTAGACGATTCTGAATGTTTTGATAGTTCTGAAATTCCAATTCTCTTCAAATGAGATGTGACCCTCCTTATTTATAGAGTTCTGGTAGGTATTAATTTAAGACGTGTAATTTTATGATTGGTTCTAAATGTAATTTTAAATTTGTGATGTGATATTTACTTATTTGTCAAAATTTATCATTTAACAAAAGTCTATTTTTCGAGATTTACGCACGTATATGTGTTGTGGATCTCGAAAAAGTAATATGTGACATTTAACCAAACATAGAGGTAATTCATAATTCTGATTAATTTTAATTTGCATATTTGTTTTAGCAAGAGTTTATGATATGTTTTGCTCGAATAATTAAAATATTAATTTTGGTCAAGAATTTTGATTTTCGACATTTGGAAGCAAACAATTTTGGCCCAACTTTTTTTTTCCTTTTATCTTGGTCAAATTTCTGTCCATAATTCGGAGTAGATTTTTTTGCCAATTTTATTTGATTTGGACCAAAAAGTAGCAAAAAATAAAAATTATCTACATTTGCGTGGTAAAATTTCTACTCTAAAACTTAAATTTGAGAATAGAAAATTTAAATATAAGTCAGCTTCATCATTGAGCCCGAGGCCTAAAGGTCGGCCCAGGCCCAGCCCAAGCTCGATCCAAGGTCAACGTTTAATAGGCTTGATCCAATCCAGCGCTTCCATTAATTGGATTGGATATGGATATTCATTTTTTAACTTGAGTTAGCCCGTTTGAGCCGTATTTGGATTGGCCCGTAGGATCGGTCCAAAAGCCTGATCCAATATTTATTAATATTTATATTATATAATATTAATATATTATTTTATTATTTATATATTATAAAAAATAAATAATACATAGGCAATTTATTAGGCTGACACATGGAGGAAGTTTGGTTTCCAACCCAATTGAATAGGAACATCTTCCGAAAGAAACTCTATAGCTTCCAATTATCTTTTTTAAATATTTGTTTTGAAAAATACAAAAGATTTGAAACATTTCAACTCCATATTTTAAAATTTAAAATTTAAAATTATTTTAAACATATCTAATATTTAGGTTGTAATTTTTTTAAATTTTTTTAATACAAAATTTTCTATAAATATGAACCTGATTTCGGGAAATTGAGATTTATGACCCCTCCAATAATTCATTTTGGATTAATGACTCCCTTTTGAAAAAAATTAGTTTGTGACCCCACTCTTCTTATTTTTTTACCCCTTTCATAATTTTTAAATATGAAATTACTATAATACCCTCATATTTCAAAATCAACAATCTCTCCCTTCTCATTATAAAAAAACAAAATTTTTTTTTTCAATCTTTATTCCTTCCACAAATCTCTCACAATAATCCATTACAAACTTAAAAAAATATAACTTTTAAACTTGAAAAATCAATTACGAATAGAAAAAGTCTAACTCAAATAGTTAATTAAAATTTTAATATGGAAAAAATAGATTAAAAAAAAGTTGAAATTACAAAATGTAATATTAGATATTTAATTGTTTAATATGGAAAATCGAATGTACATAATTACGTAATATTTGTCCGAATTTAATTTTAAAAAAAATCAAGATTTCATAAATTTCGGGCAAATATTGCATTAAATGCCCGAAATTTAATTGACAATAAGAGGACTAATAGGAGAGAAGGTAAAAAAAACTAATTTAATTGACAGGGCCTTTCGGACCGGGATGAGCACCTTTCCAGATTTTTTTTATTTTATTTTTGTCTTCCCTCCCCTCTTGGCCCTATTTGTTGTCAATTAAATCTTGGTCATTTAATGCAATACTGGCCCGAAATTTATGAAATCTTCACTTTTTTTTGTAATTAAATCCGGACAAATCTTATGCATTTATTCTTGGATCAATTATCAATATCAACTTCTCTCTAATTCTCAATCTCAATTTCTCTCAAGTTTCAATTCAAAGTATTTAAGTTTTCAATTTTTCTCGTATTTAACCTCTGTTCATCTCAAAATTTTTCAAATCTTCTAATATTCCGTTTCAAGTTAAAAAAAAATTTCATATCTTTCAAACTTGTTTGTTTAACTATTTCCTAAATCTTCTCTCATTTTACAATTTTTTTTAAATGGCTCATAGTCGTAGTCACGAAAATGATCTTCCTCTCACCATTCCAGTAATGATGAAGCTAAATTTATTGAAGGTGTCGACTCACAATCTTGAAGTATAGACGCAACTGTTGCAAGTGTAAGTATGTCTATGATCGAAGTTGTTCAACGAAACACAAGTAAAAGAGCAACATCTTCTGTTTGAGAATATTTTGAAAAGGTAGAAAAAAAATTAGATAACGGAAAAATAGAATTGAGACCAAAGTGTAAAACTTGTGTTAATTTTTCTTGAAAAGATGGTACTAGTCATCTAGGCACATGAGATCTTGTGGTTAAAAATAGAATGTAGACATTGGAAAATATATGCAATTAGGTAAAGATCAGTTAGGTAATTTAACTAATTTTTCTTATAATAAGGAATATGCTATATCTAAATTAGTAGATTACATGATTAGAGCAAAACTTCATTTTAATTTCATAGATAATCATGATTTTACTGGTACCATTCAGATATCTTTTAACCTACAATATGAAGGTTTTTTTGGCTTCTACTACAAAAAGAGATGTTATGAAAAAATTTTGGCCAAAAAAAATGTTTTAAAAAGATATTTTTCTAATTTTAAAGGAAGAATTTGTTTGACATCTGAAATGTGGATTTCTTGTCATCAACAGGGCTATCWTTGTTTAACGGCAGATTATATTTGTTTGGGGATGAAAATACCCTGGACACGTGGAGGGCCCCTATTGGTGCTCCAAGATGACTCGTGAGTCATGCCCAGCTCGGACGGCCGAAACCACCACYACTAGCATTGATAGATGCTAAGTATGGGGGCCGAGRTGAACCTGGCCGACGTCCGACCTACCGGGAAGTTTGGTGGGGGCCGATGC